GGAGCAATACAAAAGATCTTCAGCTGACTTTTAGGAGCAAACAACATATGTTCTTGAACATCTGTGCTTTTCCCAAGCTATTTTTTTTCCATTATTGTCAAGAGAAAAGAAGTTTAGTGGAATGTTTCTCCACAGAGGCACAAGTCTATAATACTCCCTGTTGATTACATATGAGACACAAAATATTAGTTTATTAAAAGCAGCTTCAACCATTGCTGTACAAAGCAGTTCTCCGATGGAACAGATTTATGAAGTAACAGCTGAAAGGTATGCAGATCACAAGATACATGACAAATGTACTTTATTACATGGATCAGAAATACCATATGTACTAGCAGTTACCCAACTAAGACTATTTAAAGGTTTTGCTGATATTGAAAACTATAAAGACACAATGTGAGAGTGAGAAAGTGTTTCATAAGATAGCATAATGACAAGATAAGTCATCGCTTTAGGAAATTAAATACATTCTGCATATTATAAACTTAATGTATTATAAAACTACGCCATTCTTTAAATTAAAATGCAGGGACTTTTACCCCATTCATTGTTTAAAGCAGATGTTTATAACATTTTTCCATACTTTAAAGTGGAACATAGTGGAATGAATACCAGGCTCGACATTAACAAATTTAAGGAGATTTCAGATTTTGTTATTTCCACCAAAAAGATACTTACGCTGCAATCACGTTGTGCCAAAAGACTACACAGAGCAAAGCAAGCACAGTGCATGTCAGACGTGACAACTTCCTGCGAGGCATTTCTTCACTGGAAAGGACTTCAGCAGCTTTCAACCCAAACTCCATGTTGTCGTCCCTCCTTATCTGAGGTTTCACTTTCTGCAGTTGCAGTTACCTGCGGTCAACTGCGGTTTGAAAATATTAAATGGAAAACTCCAGAAATAAACAATTCACACCATTCCGAGTTCTGTGATGAAACCTGAGCTGTCTGGCTCCATCTCCCCTGAGATGTGACCCTCCCTTTGTCCTGTGCATCCATACTGCTCACATAGCACAGTGAGATATTCTGAGAGGCCACATTCATATAACTTTTACTACAGTATACATTTGACCCTTAAATTTACCCCACTCCACCTCCCTTGCAGTTGAAAAACTACATATAACTTTTTTTAAAAACATCTTTATTGATTTCAGAGAGAGGAAGGGAGAGGGAGATAGATAGAAACATCAATAATGAGTCATTGATCAGCTGCCTCCTGCATGCCCCCAACTGGGGATCAAGCCCGAAACCCAGGCATGTGCCCTGACCGGGAATTGAACCGAGATCTCCTGGATCATGGACCAATGCTCAACTGCTGAGCCACACAGGCCAGGCCACATATAACTTTTGACTCCCCCAAGACTTAAGTACAGTTGTCCCTCAGTATCTGAGGGGGATGGTTCCAGGACCTCCCACCCAAATCTGTGGATGCTCAAGTCATTTGTATAAAATGGTGTAGAACAATGCACTTGGCCCTCTGCATCCTTGGATTTCCAACAGCAAATCAAAAATACTGTTTTTGATCTGTGGTTGGGTGAATCAGTAGATGCAAAGGAGGGCTGACTATATATTTATTGAAAAAGACCTGCCTATAAGTGGACCATCACAGTTCAAACCTGTGTTGTTCAAGTGTCAACAACACTTTATATATATATAAAGAGAGAGAGAAACATTGATTGGTTACCTCCTACATGCACCCCGATACCTTTCCTTGCACGGAATAATGCTCCAACCAACTGAGCCACATGGCCAGGGCTGCAATGGTATTTTTATATGCTTGCAAATATAGGGAAAAGTAATTCTATTTTGTGCCCAACATGACTTTGAATCACTCTGCCCAGTGCCCAGAAGTCAGTCACTTAGCTAGTAAGCTTAGTCAACAACCCAACTTCTGCATCTCAATTGCAGTATGTATAAATTTGGCAATTCCTTGGAGTCTCTTTTTAAAAAAAGAATATATACATATATTTTTGTTGTTGTTGATTTCAGAGAGAGGGAGAGGGGTAGATAGAAACATCAATGATGGGTCATCAATCGGCTGCCTGGTGCACACCCTCCACGGGGGATCAAGCCCACAAACCAGGCATGTGCCCTAAAGGGGTTATCGAACCTTGATCTCCTGGTTCATGGATCGACACTCAACCAGAGCCATGCCAGCTGGGCCCTTGAAGTCTCTTTAGATTTCTCCCATTTATCTTACCTTGTGGCTAGCACTTCACTAGTCTAAGCCACACACCACTACCCTTCACCATCATTATGCAGTCCATTTCAGATATTTAAATCAAGTCATTGTTAGCCAGTTTTTTCCTTCTTCAACTCCAAAAAATCATATCCCAGATATAGATTCAGATTCTAAAAGTATCCAAATTTCTTGCCCGGCCAGGTGTGGCTCAGCAGTTGAGCATCGACCTAGGATCCAGGCAATCGGGGTTCGATTCCCGGTCAGGGCACATGCCCGGGTTGCGGGCTGCAGCCGATCAATGACTCTCTCATCATTGATGTTTCTATCTCTCTCCCTCTCCTTTCCTCTCTCTGAAATCAATAAAGATATATTTTTAAAAAATAAAAATAAAAAAAATAAAAATACCCAAATTTCCTAATAAGCAAGTATATTCTGATACATTTTTACGCTAGACAACATGGGAACTAGTGGGGGAAAATGTATCTACATCAATGTGACACTAGAAAAAAAAAGAAGTGGTCACAACCACTACTTGATTCTACCTTAGAGCTTCAGCTGTAGTTTGCATTTCTTCTCTGGTTAGTAGTTTGTGCACCACTGATTTCAGGCTTCACCTCTGGGATTGGGTCAACCCATTCTAAGGGAGTGCTACCAAGGGAACTCCAATCTGGTCTAGGCTAAGACTTGAGAAGGGTTCTATAAATAATTTCTCTGCTAAAATCTGCTCTTTATCTGATCCTGAGCTTGCATCACAGATTGAACCAAAAATAGGTACTTTACCCTAAAACTACCTTTCTTCCCTAGCAAGGCTGCACATCCTTTAGAGGCAGAATGGCATTGTTAGATTGTAGGCTCTAGAACCTGTCTGAATTTGAATCCTAGCTCTATGGATTTTAGCTGTGGGGCCTGTGTGCCTCAGTTTCCCCAGGTGTAATAGAGATATTAGTACCCAATTCATAGATTGCTGGGAGGACGAGTTAATACTTTGATTGTGGAGTTTAGGATTAAATAATTTAGACTAAGGCCTGACATATGAAGCAACCAATAAATGAAAGCAATTTTGATCATCCTTAAGTATTTTAATTTTAAATTTAATTTCTTAAAAAACAATAAAATGTTACATTCAATTCAGAATGCAGTTGAGCCCACTCAACCTAATTCCAAAAAAATGAGTTGGTGCTTAGCTTGAGCTCCATCTGGTGGTTTTACAGCAATTCCCTGGAAAAAGGACGACAAATTTAAAAAATAGTATTTTACTCATTTAAAAGAGTAAAGAACATTGCTATACTTTTTTCAAAATTTTTAAATCCTCACCCAAGGATATGTTTATTGACTTTAGAGAGAGAAGAAGGGAGAAAGAGAAACATCGATGTGAGAGAGAAACATTGACTGGTTGTCTCCTGGTTGCCTCCAATACACACCCCAACCAGGGATCAAACCTGCAACCTAGGTACGTGCCCTGAATGGGAATCCAACCCGAAACCTTTTTGGTGTACTGTCCGATGCTCCAGCCAACTGTGCCGCCTGGCTGGGGCTATACTTCTTAATTTATAATCTTTAGGAATAAAGCAAAAGATTGATCATACCCCTGTAATTCATTTCTGAATGCCAGTCTAAAATTCCTGCCAAAATTTGGAAGCGGGAAATCTTGCTGGTAGTGCAGTCCACCAACTCAGTGCCTTAGCGGGCCCACTCACAACCTAGTGCAAAACAATTTCTTTTTACCCTTTCTAGAAGCTATAGGACGCTTGAGAACATTTCCCAAATAAGTTTTTTTATAGTGGTGTTTTGACTTTACATTTTGCTAACTTTAAGTAAAATCCTGACTGGACAAACTTCATGACTAGACAGACTTAAGTGAACATACCTACATCATTACCAGGCCCTGGGTGAAAGCTCAAAGCAACTACCACTGGAGTCAAATTAGAGGTTATCAACAACAGAAGACATGAACATATCTTGGGCATACTGGCCTCTGACTTAAAAGAAAATTCTCAACTTAAAGAAAATCCAGTTAAAAAAATACCTGACAATGTTGCCAAAATATAAATAAGCACTAAGTGTATAGCTCTGAAGCAGACAATTCCTGATAGAAAAAAAAAAAAAGGTAAATAATTCAGTTAGTACGTTTAGGCAGATATTGTCAGTGCCTAAACTGGATGTTAGCAACGTTTTATTTCATGAACAGACATTTACTTTCCTTTTCCTCACAAACTCTATTTGTTGTTCATAACTATACCAAAAGGCTAAGAGAGACCATGAATGACATTTGTTTCCCAACTCACATCTTCTATTAGCTTCTTTGAGAAAAGTTATTTTAAGTATTTAAAAATTATCCACTAACTTTTCAGTGAACTAACCTGAGTAAATTGAGAAAAGTCTATTATATAAAATAATTTTTAAGGTTTTACTGGCATTAAGTTTTACAGATTCAAATCTAAAAGATTTGGGTCATGTTCTATTTATCTCTATATTGTGTCCCAGCCTAGCAGTTTGGCCGACACAAAATTTGTGTCCTAATGACTAAGTGACTTTATTCTAATTGATCTCACTTTTAACTTGGTTTTCTTCTGAAGTGAACAGCCTCTTCTGAGTAGACGCCCATAAGAGCCAGACACCTTGTGTTGTTCCCTGTGCCCCTAGCACCTGGAAAAGTTCTGGGCACACAGAAGGCACTCAATAAATATTTGTTGTTCCAGTGAATGTATGGTGATGATTAATATGACATTGAAATTTCAAAGGGAATGCTAAATTTAAATGGCTTAAAAATAAACTTTAAAAAAAAAAAAGAGTGAAATTAGTAAACTGTAGCAAGACAGATTTTTAAAAAATCATTTCATTATACCAACATTTCCAACAGTATATTCTATTCCTATGAATACAGTTTCAAAGAGTCTAAGTTAAACAAGTTTCTTTATTGCTAGATCTCTATACTAAGCAAATACTTTTTGTACATCAAGTATGTAGCATTTCCCAAACTGATGTGACCATGAAATGTATTTTTTCACCACACACCTGGAAAAACTAATTATGTGAAATATGCTTTGGGAAATGTTGCATACATAAGCTACATATGAAAACTGATAAACACTGAACTAGTTCCCAGGATGTTCTAATCTCCTTAAAAGATAAATCATATTAATTTGTACGCGTTAATATTCTATCTAAAAATATAAAAGAAGAATCCGGTCTTCTCAAACTACTAGAATACCTTAAGGATAGATGAAAGAAAATTCAAGATCGAAACAAAATACCTTTTATTATGACTTATACAAAATCAAAACTCCAAACAACTACTGCTTATAAGATCCACTGCCGTTATATTTTTAAATATCGTTATATAGTTTTTACATCTGAGTTAGTATATCCTTTATCTTTATTAAAACCTAAAACCACAACCACATTAATACTTGCTAGAATTTTGATGTCTGATAATCCCTGAAGCATCCAATTAAAATATCATTATAGCTTTCATTCACCAAAGAAAGTATCTTATTCAAGTTTCCAAAACAAATTTGAGGAGTTGTGTTGGGCTGAATTGAAGAAAAAGGCCCAGTTAAAATATGGAAACAAAGTTTTCATTCGGTGGAAGCTGAAATCAGTATATACATTCTAATCAAAGATCTGTTCCATGTGGCATTTTTCAGGTTTTTAAGCCTACCAGGCCAAACCCTTAGCTGCCTTCACCGCTTTTGCTCTGCTTTTCCCCTTTTTTTTCTCTCTCTTTGCCTTCAGCCTTTTTCTTTGCCTCTTGTTCATCCATATGGGGTACTGTCCATGCTGATCTAGAAGACTCTTTTTGTTTCTCTTAATATCAGTCTCCATTTTCATGTCATCTGAATAAAAAAATGGAAAAACTATTAATACAAATGACAAAACAACCCTGTAAAAAGCATATTAATGCAGTGAGAACAGCAGAAGTGAAAGTGGTATGAAACTACAAAAAAAAAAAAAAAAAATCCCTTATTTGTGTATTGCTCTTTAACACTCTGAAAACCCCTTATAGCACATTCAGTGGAGTCACGCATATGCTGCCATGTGTTCCTACAACCGTGAAAGACATAAAAAGCCATTTGTGAGGAAAGAGACATCATCTATTTAGTCACTAAGAAATTTTCTAAAGAATGTCATCATGATTGTCCTTTTTTGGAGTAATAAGGTAAAATAGGAACCATTTAGGATGTATGAATTTGAGTTACTGCATTAGGGATAAGTATCTGGTTCTGAGCAAATGTGAGTTACAAGAACATTTCTTAGATTAAGTGCCTTCTTGAGCTAAATAAGATAGCAAAGCCAATAAGAAGTATACCCATACTTGTAATGGATAGGCCTTAGAAGTAATGAGCTGATTAGGAATAAATGGTCACTTCTACTGCCATGAACTTGGAAGAGTAGTAGCAATAAAGCAGCAGGCTTTAGATGACAGAATAAAAAAGAACTGGATATATCCTGGGGCTACCATACTTTTCTATACAGATAAGAGGCAGATTCAGCTCTACTAACAAGAGACTTGGCAGGAAGCTCAGGGCAACCATGCCATGGTACATCCACCACCACCCTTATTTACTGTGAAGGACATCTTCAGAATGCCTCTCCCTGGAAACTGACCAGACCAGGGTTACAAGGTCTTCCATGATCTCTACCACCTGGCAATATATTAATTCATTTATCTGGTTTACTTTCTCTCTCCTCCAAAACACTGTCAATTCCATTAGAATGGAGGCCATTTCTCTAATATTCATCACTGTTTCCACAGTCCCTGGAATAATGCCTGGTATCTATTAGCCATTCAATAACTAGTTGTTGAATGATTATTTTAGGCGCTATTGTAGGTTCTAGGGATAGACTGGTCCAAATAACCTCCTTGCTCTCGTGGAGTTTAAATGTTCTGTTGAGAGGAGAATAATAAAGCAAACTTCAGCCTGTGGTAAGCAGTTTTTTAAAGAGAGGTTCTGTACCTCTTTGTACAGAACCTGAATCAGATGAAGTAGGACATGGTAGACTCTGGTAAGCACATGAAAAGACGAAGCAGCATGAGAATGATAAAACTGGATTTATATTCTAAAAATATAACACTAAGCGGCCAGCTTGGCTCAGCGGTTGAGCATCAACAAATGATCCGGGAGATTGTGGTTCGATTCCTGGTCAGGGCGCATGACCGGGTTGCGGGCACGATCCCTAGCTGGGGGCTTGCAGGAGGCAGCAAATCAATGACTCATCATTGATGTTTCTATCTCTCTCCCTCTCTCTGAAATCAACACAGACATATTTTAAAAAATAAATAAAATAAAAAGATCACAACTAATAGGCTGAAATAAATTAGAAAGGAACAAGAGCTGGAGAAGTAAAAAGGTTACTATTGTAGTTCAGCCAAGAGATGATGATCATTTAAAGTGAAAGCATAAAAGAGAAAAATGGATTCCTGCTGTATTTTGGAGATACTCAAGATGTACTAATGGTTTAGATGTGGGAGAAAAAGGAAAGGGGTCAAGGGTAACGATGAGGTTTATGACTTAAAAAATTAAGTGGGTAGCTGAAGGAGTAGAAGGGGAAATGTGAACTTGAGGGCAGAGATGAGGAACCATACAGAAAATATGTAGATTACTAAATGGGGAGTCCCCACCCTTACCCTCAGTTGTATCTCCATTCAGTTCCTGGAATACTCTTAAAATGAGGGCAGCCAGACATTCCCCCAGGCGGGAGATGAGAGAATTCCTCTCTGAGGGTGAGAGAAAAGACCTACAAGTTCTGAGATTGGAGGTCTTCCACAACAAAACTTCCCAGGGTCAATCCATTCATTCTGCAAATCTAGCAGTTGATAAGCCCTCCTCCACACCTTGCCCCATCCCCACAAGCTTCCAACCAACATTTTAGTGCATTACTATAGGTCACCAAACATTGGAGAAAAGCTTCTAATATGAAAGAGAAAGAGACAAAAATAAAGAAATGAAAGGGAGGAGGAGAACCTAAGAGGAAAGACAAATAATGCATAGAGTAGATCAACATTTCTAAAAGAAGCTGTAATTAATACCCTCAGTGAGATTAGAGAGGGTACGCATCCATTAAGAACTTCCGCATATTAAAACAAAAAAAAGAAAAAGAATTTTTTTGGAAATTAAAAATATACAAAACTAAATAACTCAACGCAAGAATTAGACAATAAGGTTCCAAAAATTAGAAAGTATAACAAAAGAAACAGGAGAGAAAAGAAAATAAAGGATAAATCCAAGAGACTTGAGAGTGAATGGGCAACTAGCATGCAGAATATATAACCTTGAGATTATATATACAGGGCGTCCCAAAAAAATATATACACACTTTAAGTAACTATAAAGGCAGTGTTTATTAAAATATTTCATTTTCAAAATGTAATAGAAGTCAGCTGTTAAAGAGTGCATACATTTTGGGGGGGCACCCTGTATATTATTTTAAATGTTTTGATTAACTCACTGCAATAAAATTACACTCTGAATCTTGTAAAAAACAACACAAAAAACACCTCTTACAACTCAATAGCAAAAAAGACAAACAATCCAATTAAAAAAGGGCAAAGGGCTTGAATAGATCTTTCTACAAGATGGCCAACAAGCATATGAACGGATGCTCAACATCATTCATCATTGGGGGAATGCAAATCAAAACTAAGATACACTGCTTCACACCCACTAGGATGGGGTAATAATAAAAAATGGAAAATAACAAGTACTGGCAAGAATGTGAAAGAACTGGAACCCTAATAGATGCTGGTAGGAATGTAAAATGGTGTGACTGATATAGAAAACAGTAAACACAAAATTATCATATGACCCAGGAATTCCACTCATAAGTATATACCCAAAAAAACTGAAAACAGGTATACAAACAAAAACTTGCACACAAATGTTCATAGCAGCACTAAGCCAGAAGGTGGAAGCAACCTAAATGTCCATCAACAAATGAGTGGAAAAACAAAATGTGGTATATACATAAAATGGGCTATTACTCCATTTTTAAAAGGAAGTACTGGTACATGGTAGTATGTGGATGAACCTCAAAAACATTATGGTAAGTGAAAAAAGTCAGACACGAAAGGTCACATATCATTCGATTCCATTTATATGAAATACCTAGAATAGGTAAATCCAAAGGGACAGAAAACACATTAGTGGCTGCCAAGGGGAGAAAGAGGGAGAGAATGCTTCATAGGTATCCTTTTAGGGTAATGAAAATGTTTTGGAAATAGAGGTGATTGTACAGGCCATCAGTGCACTAAATGCTACTGAATTGTACACTTTAAAATAGTAAATTTCATGTTATATGAATTTTACCTCAATGACAAAAAGAGTGAGTGGGCAGAAGTGGTGTGCTTATGAGGAAACTGAGACAGTAAATGTTAAGAAGTCACAAGGAGAGCTGACATAAAGCAGCAGATTGAGAGAAAAGTGAGAACAAGGGAGGGGTTTTTCTTTCTTGAAAGGGGACATCCCAGAACGCATTTATGACCTAGCAGAGAAGAGTTTGATAAGCAGGATGCATGAGTACAGCCCCTGAAAATGGAGAGGATTCAGAACACAAGTGGAGACACTAGCCTTTGAAAGAGTATTAACAAAATAGGGAAAACAGACTATACATTCAAATTGTTACAGACTTATAGTGGGAAGATGAGGGTTTTTCTGTTGATTATAGTTTCTACTTTGCAAAGGCACTGAAGTAAAAGAATTTTTTTGTGTGATTTTCATTTGTAGGGGGCAGGAGAAGGGTGGAATGTGAAAATAAACCATCACTATGAAGAATGGGAAAGGAAATTTCTAGGGTTAGAAGATTAAGGAATGCTGCTCTTTTCCTTGACCACTGTACACCACATAAATACACTTCTATTTTAAGACCCTAAGTATTGTGAGTGCCTAATTTAGTTTACTGCCAAAGTGGTGTATTAACTATATGAAAAACCAATGAGCCTTTCCCTGTACTGAAACTATTATATAGAGCCTCCAACTTTAGACTACGATTAAGACATAGAGGTCCCTAAAATCTGTCAAAATCAAATACAGGGAAACTGTGACTTTTCAGGATAACAACATAAAGGCATAGGACTCCTAGAATGTAAACTAGTTCTTGCAAAAGGTAAAATGAAGAAAGGCCTCCTTTTCCCCTGCCCAGTCCCTAAATGAATTGTGCAACTTTCAACAAGGGTGTCTAGGTTTGCCTACTCCTATAGCACTATTTCTGAGACACTTAGGCTATTGTATGAGCAACAAAGGCCCACTCTGCATATCCCAAAACGTGCCTGTTCACATGAACTGGCTATAAAATAGTTTAGCATAGACTCTCTAGTAGCACTATTAGCCTTCAAAGAATAACATGGGCATGGGAGGTGTGTAGGGATGCATGTGTGGGAATGAATGGAAGACAGGGAAAACTGAAGAAAGAGAAAAAGTCACAAAAGGAAACTGACAGAATTATTTTTTAAATGAAGCACATAAACTCACCTGTTTCACCTTTTGCCATACCCTGGGTTTTCTCTTCAGAAGGTTTGGGGACCACCACAGTTGCTATCTCTTGAACGTCTTTCATTAGAACATCAGTATCTACTTTAAGAATACTTTTAAGCCTGCTAAGCTCCTTTGGAGCATTCTTTTTTCTCTTTTCAGCACGCATCTTCCTTTTCCACTTACTCCGTAAGCTTTTAGCCATATTTTATCTGGAAAGTGAACAAAGATACATATTCAAAAGCAAATGTTTACTATCAAAAAGGGGCAAATGCTTGAAAAACCAGATCAAAAGGTATCTCTACAAAACACAAACGAATGGAAAGTAAGGCTCTTTACTCTGTTCACGGTTTATGGCGGCTTAATGTACAACTTATGTGAGATCAACATGGTCATCTACAGCCGCTAAATAATTAATACCAAATCAAACTCCCCTTGGTCATTAGCTATAAATCAAGCCAATTCTCAAAGTTCCTGGACTTTCCAAAAAAGATACAGAATTTCAATTTCCTCCAAAATGCAAAGACCATTATCACCTTACATTTAGGGAACAACTTTCAAGTCACAAAATGCTTTTATAAACATCTTTTAACTGAATCTTGATTTCACTCAATACTACTGGATATCCACCCAAGTCATCATTATCCACCACCTCAAGTCAATCTAGCTATCTTAAAGTTATCCATTCTTGCTTTCTCTCCATCCTATTCCCAGCCCTAAATCCTCCACAAGGTGGGTAGTGAGCTTTTAAAAACTTAGAGCACATGATTGCCTTTTCTTAATGACCTTCCACCTCCTATATTCAAGGTCTGCAAGGTTATTTGTGACCTGACCTGACCTGACTCCTTCAACTCTCTCTCCTCATGCTCCATCTCACCCCCAAGTACCAATGACATCTGAAAAAAGTCCAATCAGTGACAACACAGGGACAGTGGGAATGTGATGAGGGGGTGGGAAGAAAGGGATGACAGGGATTATAAAGAGTTCAGAAGGAAATTTTTGAGAGTGGTTTATAACATCATCTTAATTGTGCTGATGGATTTATGTTTGCATACACATATCGAAGCTTGTATTACATACTTTAAACGAGTAAGTTTATTGTTAATTACACATCAATAATGCAATTATATAAATCACTGAGACATGATTTGGGGGTGTGGGTGCAAACTATGTCCATTTCAGTACCTTTACATTTGCTTTCCTGTGCCTGAGAACTACCTTCTCAAGACTCGCTCCTTCACTTCAGTACCTGAGAAAGGGCTTCTCCGACCCTCTTAGCTCCCCTCCTTTTATTTTCTATATCATCCTTTTCCTTCATTTTAAATACGTTACAGCCTGAAGTTAGTTTATTTTCTGTCATTTCTGGTGGAATGTGAGCTCCACCAGGCAGGGGCTAAATAGGTCTTTTTCAGCGTTAGATCCCCCAATAGCTCTTTGCACATAGCGAAGGTTAAATAAAGATTTGTTGAATTAATGACTAGTGGAATACCATTTTTCTGGACGCCAGGAATCACAAACTCAGTCTGTTCCCTTGTGTACAACAACCCGAGCCCTGCAAGCGGCGGGGACAGAAGGGTCTTGTTCTACCACCTTGTGGGCCGAGGTCAACCGGAGCGAGACTAAACGACGAAGAAGGTCTCCACCTGGCTAAGAGCACGGAGAAGCCCGAGGGCCGCCACCAAGACCAAGAGAGACCCTCACCCTCCAGGGAAGCTTGCGACTCTGAGCCGGGCTCCAGTTTGCCCAGTGGTGGGCGACACTACAGACAAGCTTTTGTGCGAAAGGCTGAACTGAGCTCCAAGTCCCAGCCCCACCGGGCACCCACTCACCTAAAAGGCTCACCGCTCACGGTCCACACGCTCACGACGACCGGAAGTCCCCGCACTTCCGCCTTCCGGGCCGCCCTCTCCACGCCGTCCCGTCCCCCCGGGCGCGTTGCACGCCGGGAGCCGGCAGCCCCGGAAAGTCTCTAAGAGGCGGGGTCTTCTGGAGTCGGGCGCTTCCCGCTTTGGTGCGCGTGCGGGCCTCGGAGCCCCGCTCCTCCGGAAAGTTCCGGAAGGTGAGCGTGAAGAATGCGGGAGAGAATCTCGGCGGAGGTGGGCGCACCAGCCGGGCCCGCTTCCCGAGCGTGGCCGCGGTAGCCCTGAGATTTTTAACTCCAGGAGTGAAATTGGCCCGCTGACCCTGCCTGTCAGGTAAGGAGCTCGGAGCCGCCCTTGGGTTCCCTTAGACCAAATCATCCTTCTAGATGCCGAACTGAGATCAACTTTATTTGCAGCCTTTAAATTTTCCCATTCTGGGTGATGGGTGGGAAGGGATTAACCAAATAATTTATATGCATATATGCATAATCCATGGACACAGACAAT